ACAGACTGCTCCGGCTGGCAGATGCCGGCGCTTCATGCGGGACCCCTGCGCCATGCCATGGCTTTTGGGATGAGCAGCGTCCACGGAGAGGTTTCACAGCAGCAGCAGCGAAATACACGTAACGGCAGCACAGAAGAGGTTACCCGCCCTGTGGCAGCGTCACCCGCTGGCCTTGTGACCTCCCCAGGAAGGGTGGCTGCGGTCCCCGCACACTGCGGTGCTTGGTCAGTGCAGCGAGATCTGTTCCCATACACAGACATGACAGAATTCCTCACCCTGCCCCATTCCTTCTCACTTGGCAAAGAGGAAACCTGGTGCAGCTGGGACAAACAGCTTCAAGCATCCAAACTCCCGGATTTTCCAGTTGAAGGAACCCAGTGCAAAGCTTAGAGAGAAAACAAACAAACAGACAAACTCAGGTAGCCAGCAGGCCTGGCACGCAGGACAGATGTTGGGACTGGGCAACTCTCTCTGACCAAAGCCACTCAGAGTTTAAGCTCTGTGCAGCATCCTGAGCACAGACACCCGTGTCGTAAGGTGCGCAGCACCCTCACCGACTGACCTCAGCCAGGAGAGGCTTTTCACCCCAGCCGTTCACACAACCATGAACGCTCAGGGCTGCCTACAAACACGGCTGGGGAACAAGTCCTGGGACATACCTGCCCAGACATGGTCTGAGCATCCCATTGCACCCCAGTCCCCGTCGTGCTGCCTGCTTCTTCCTAAGTGTTTAGTTCATTTTGCTATCTGCCTGACAAGGAGAGATCAGTCTGTTCAAAACAGCAGCGTTACTTGGCAGTGTGATGAGGTGAGCTCATCTCTGACAGGCGGCTGTAACACGGCTGTTGAGGTGCAGGGACGTTAAAGGCCGCGGCCCCAGCACTATGCAGATGAGCTGGATCAGCAACGGGGATTGCAACCCTGTCCTTGGTCAGGGACCTTTCCTGGTGCCAGGGGAGATCACGTTACCCGTAGGAGCTTGAGGGCTGCACTCTGCACTGACCCTCTCACCTGGGGTCCCAAAGCAGCTGGTACCAGCTAAAGGTCATGCACACAGCCGGGGTCCAGAACCATCTTTCCAGGAACTTTTATTTGAAGGGATGGACTGGACACAGCTGTGATACAAGATGCTTTTCAAACAGTTACACAACATGGTCTTTGCCCATAGCTTATTCCCATTGTACATAGTAACCCTGTGAAACACCTCAATTTTTATTAATTTTCTGGACGGACCCTCCATACATTGCTCACTAATGGCTCTCCATTAGCCAGGCCAGCATAACCCTGTAAATTTAACTTCCTTGAAAACAAGAGCTCACAACCCTCAGAAGACAGTTGCAGCCGCCTCCTTCGTTCTAGATGATAAACCATAGCAAAACAGCATAACGTCTTCACTTGGGGTGATAATCTTTTCATGCTGAAAAGATTCTCACCCACTGAATTTCAATTCTAATATCAAAACTAAAGACTCACATATGTTTTGAGCTGTTAGATTCATTAATTTCACGCTTTTGCTCCTGACACTTGAGAGGCACAGGATTTTGTTAAGCTGTTTAATTGCAGTAATTTTTTTTTTTTTTAGCACAGTATTTTACAAGCTGCAGAAATACCCAAAAGGCTAGAGTGGATGCCAGCAGTCCAAAAAGCCGGAGGCAAGCATGTGTGTATTGAAACACGGACTTCTGAAGAGAAGAATTATAATTTATAGATCACAAATTCAAAACCCAAATCAGAACAGGCAACAGTGGTACCTTTTTTTCCAAGTAACCAAATAAAGGCATTGGAGATGGAGATCAACTTCTTGTACAGTTTATGCAACTACGTATGGACTGTGGCCACAGTCCAGTAAGATAAACCTGACAAAGGCACCATCCTTGAGGACAATCCTTGTACACAAAGTGGCCTTGACACTGCCCTCTCAGCTCTGGGAGTCATGGCTGGGGACGAGAAAGGCCCACCCACCATCCCAGATAACAGCAACACAGGGTTGGACGTAGAGGCAGGCACCACTCTAGTTACGCCTGCCTCCCTCCCTGCTGCCATGCTGGGGTGCCAGCACTGCCCCCAAAACTCCATCCTCAGCCAGTGCCTCTGCTCAGGCATTTACCCAAGCTCCCACCACGCACACTCTTCTGAAGCAGAGAAAACAAGAACCATCTCTTCTCCACTGCCTCCCTTTAAGGCTTTGGTGGTTTTTAACCCCAGCAGTGATGGGAGGGAGATCCCCTCTACCTGCACAATGGGGAGAGGACTGCCCGAGAAGAGGGGTCCATTGGAAATCCCACCTCTGAAGGGCTTATGCTTAGGTGCTGCCCCACAGACGCAGAAAACACTGCAGCTCTAAGGAGCTGGGAGCAACCTCACCCTGCTCTGCACAGAGGTCCCATCCATACGGGTTTAGCGACAGATGTTCAAGGTCCAGATGAGCATCCCCCACCCTGGAGACATGCCCAAGCCACTCACCATAGTCTCTTCTGGACGTGATGCACACCATGCTCAGCTGGGCAGGGTAGGTGGCTGCGGGAAAAGTAGCTCAAGAGAGGGATGGCCAGTGTCCCCATTCAGTGACACATAAGGAACACTCCACTGTAGTCGGGGGTCTGGGCTCACCCTCCCCTGTGCCTACTTTATCCCAAGCCCTCTGCAAGGACTGTGCAGCCAGCCCAGGCAAAACAAACCAAGAACACCCAGGGAGAAGACTGCAGCACTCCATTGAGTTTCCTGTGATGGCAGTAATATTTCATCTTTAAAAACTCATTGTTTTGTTGACTTTTCTTTTTTCCATTTAATTTTATTCCAGACACCCACCCCATATGCAGATCACTCCAAGAAGTAACCAGTTCTATGTGCAAAGGGACACTGACTTTCCATCAGGGAATGCTGTTTGGATGTTAATGTCTATGCTGAAACAGCGTTTCATAGGTGATCCACGCTATTCCTATCACTGCTTACACTGAGCGTGTGTACCTTTAGCTGCCTTAACATCACAGGGTTTAGAACAACGATGCATCTTTGTAAATTTTTTTAAAGATATATAAAGACATTTCCCTTGTAACAGAATGAGGAAGAAGCCATAAAGCTAAGAACTGGGCTTTATTTTTCATTCCCACATTACTTACAACCAAAGTGCCTGTATCCACGGCTGATGTAAGGGAGCTTTATTATTCCTCACAGAACTTCAGTTCTACACATCCTCTCCTGACTTGCAGCATCAGATGAAGTTTACAGAAGCAACAATACCCAGGCATCCAACACATCCCTTGACTCACCCAAGATGGACAAATCACCCCAGGAGCACATGCACTGCGATATCCTGCACACACGTCCATCACTCCTGCAGCTACGGCTGTCTCTGCCTCGGGATTTTCCTGCTCTGCTCCAGCACAAGCATTTAATTTACTCTAAATACCCCAGCATTTCCAGGAATATCAACCACACAACAGTACAGGGCTGGACAAATCCTAAGAGGTGCTCACCCCCAAACATACAGGTATGTCTTTACACCACACTGGGGATGGACTTGGCCCACTCCTCCCCAGCAGCGGAGCGGGACATCCCCCAACACATGCAGCAGAGGGGCAGAGTCCAGGCTGGACCCTACAGCAGGTACAGTTTCCCCCAACTCTCATTTGCAAGTTATTTTATCATAAGCAAGCAAATATCCACAGTGTGAAGCACGCTTCTGTAGTGGAAAGAAAACCTAGCAATCGTGAGCTCCTTGCACACTCACCTCTGCAAAAAATATTCCAGTTCTCCAGCAAACACTGAGCACATTTAATAGAAGAATAGACACTGAGCACATAGACATCTGCCAGCCTGTGCTGATATTTTCAGTGAGTACCAGAAGCATTGTATGACTTCGGGAACAAATACTATCTGCAGAGACTCAGGGCTGGATCCTGGGATGGCATCACCCCTATTAGATCCAAGGGGGGACACGGACCTCCCATGGGGACAGGGGAGCTACAGGGCAGAGCCCAGGACGAGGGCACTGCCAGCTCTGAGGGAAAGGCACACTTCCCTGGTCCTTGGAGGGGGTCACTGAACCATTACAGGGAAAAACTGCAGCGTTACAGCCCTCTCCCACCCCCAAGGCAGCTTAGACTGGAAAGCTGTTTTCCATAAAATTCCTTGTCAAACCCAGACAAAATAAAGGCCCATACTTTAAATGCTCAACAACCTCCAGTGTCGCAGTGGGAGCACAATGCTGCTCTGTGAAACACACTCGCCTGGAATAACAGGCGGGCGGGGGCAGGCAAGAGGAGGGGAGCCTGGTGGGGTGGGACCTGCCAGAACGCTTCTGCGTTGCAGTTTCAGGGCTAAAGCTCACAACGGGTTGAGCCAGTGAGCTGCCCCAGGGCAGAGCTACACCCTTCCCATCTCGCCAGGGTTAAACCCATCTCCTTGTGTGCCAACTCCTTATTTTTACATTATTGTACACTTAGGAGGAGAAAGCCACAGCTACATGTTGCTGCAATTTTATATCATTCCTTTTTCAGAAAATAATCTCCCAGGTTCATCAAATTCTTCAAACCCATTGCTTTAGTACAGCTGTCAGCAGCCTGTTAGCGTAAACTTCCAGTATGGATTTCAAAAAATGTGAACAACCCTTGGTTTCGACCATGCCCGTAGGTTTAGTATGCCAACAGTTACTTTTGAGATGGGTTATTTCCAAAAGACTATTGCAAGATCTTAGTCACAAGAAGCTTGGAGAGACTTTATAAAAAACCAGCACAACACAGAACCTCCTTTTCAGTCCCTCCTAGTCACATAAGCCGCGTATCTCCCACCCGCCGGCATACGAACTGCCTTTGCTTCCTCCCCAAGGAAATATTCTCCTGCACGCTGTATCGGATGCAAGAGGGGCACTTAGTTGCTTGCAAGTGAATAGCCAGGCTCTAATTGTTTTTTAACCTCCCCTTTTTCATGTACTTTTGTCAAATGACCCCAGTCCTGGTGGGACCTCGGGGAGCCCACTTTGTCCCCCGGCTGCTCCCTGCTCAGAGGCGTTTGCTTTTGCTGCAGGTTGTGCACAGGAGGCTGGCGTTGTTCAGAGCAAAGGGCTTGCCGGTCAGCAGCGTCTCGCACTCCAGGCAGGCAAAGTGCTTCGTGTGCCAGGCCATCCCTTCTACCTGCTGGTAGTCCTCTGAGAAGATGATCTATAGGAGACAGACAGACAGTTGTGCATTACCACCACCTTGCCAAGCTGGTGCATGGCCGGGGAGAACCAGCCCCACACCACCCACCAAGCCTGTGCCACGGAGGGCAGGCTTCGGGAAGGGTAAATAAAAGGCACAGGACAGCTCCTGAGCAATTAAGCCAAAGTCATGGGTTGCAATTAAGCATTATAAAATCATCAGGTTTTAAATGCAGCTAGAGCTGGGTTGTTGCTCTGAGCTAGACAGGGTGTAGCTAGCCGAGACCTTCATTAACATCACACTGCTTCACCCCATTTTCTTTAGGCACCTCCAGCTCCCCCGAGGAGCTACAGCGCTGGTGACCCAGAGGGAACCCCAGGAGGTGTGGGTGGGCGAGCAGGTCAAGGCACATGCCAAAGAAGCCCTGAATTGGCCCGTGCCAAGCCCCCGCAGAGGCGGGTAGTACCAAGCAGAGGACACTGGCCGGTGCCTACCTCGTCGCAGCCGGTGCAGCGTGGCCGCAGGCTCTCGCAGTAGTGGCGGCCGCACCAGGCAGCCTCGCTCTTCCAGAAGTAGATGAGGTCAACGAGGGGCTCAGAGCAGCGGCAGCACACGAAGCACGCCGGGTGCCACTGGCGGGAGTAGCCGGCCCTGTCGGCGTACACCACGGGACAGTCCCCTGGCACCACCTGCTTGCAGGTCTCACAGCGCTGCAAGAGAGGTGACGGAGTGAGCACGGGCTTGGGCACAGAGCAGCGATGCTCAGTGCATGGCGCAGGTATTTGCTTCTCAGACATACCGCATCTTTACCGCACAGCTGGGTTAGCAAAGCAGAACAACACACCATCTGCATGTCCTCAATGCATCCTGTTTCTAAAACAGCCTGAAGGACCTACTGTGTTCCTGCTCGACATCCCACAGCACCAAGGAGGGCAGTAGAAATAAAACATTTAATGCCAAGACTGCTAAGCTGCTGTGGTTTAGGTTTTTTGAGCTCTTGTTCTGTGAAGGGAAACTTAAGAACACCAAAGGCAGATTTTACAGTTGTATCAGCTTGGAAGGCACAGCACACACACTAGCCTGAAGGGCGGGCATAGAGACAGTGCAGTGAGGTAGAAGAGCAGGGAAAGCTAAACTGAAGAGAAAGCAATGGTGCTGGGAGCAATGTCTCAATTGTGCAGCAGGACTCAGACAACACAGAGCATCACAGGGCACCCACAGCTAACAAGAAGCAACATCTCCACATATATTACTCCAGATCCCAGGCAAACATTTGGACCGATGATATGTACAGACAGATTGTCAAGTCATAAGATAACTAAGAGTCATTATAAATATGTATTTACTAGCCCTCACCTGGAGTACTGTTGACTTTCTTCCAGCCAGATCCTTGGGCAGGTAGGAACAGCACTACCCACCATCACCTAAGTGCCTGGCCTTTGTGATTCCCCCCTGCTAAACCCAACCTTCATTAAAATCCAAAGGTTCTCTCAGAAAGAGTTAAGACAACCTACAGTGCAGAAGTGTAGCAAGTCAGAGTTGTTATTTTGCATAGAGATTAGGAGCTTTGGTCTTTTCTCACTCACTGTTTTTTAATATATGTAAATGCGTAAGACAGACGTCACTCCACAGATTTCAGCAGAGTGCTTTCAATTTATAACAGTCCAAAGAGACAGAATTAGATTTGGCTAATCTGAAGATTAATTAGCATCTATGCATATTACACACAAGACCAACTGGTTCACTCTTTATCTGTGCCTGCAGAGTGATCCTGTGATCAGTTAAGAGCAAGCTTTAAAGCTTTCCTCTCTGAAGCTGACAGCTGGTGGGTTGTTATTTAAGTTCCCATTTAAGTCTGGATATTCCAGGTCAGGCTAATAGCTGCTGAGTCTGTGCTTTGTCACTCCCTAAAAGAAATACTCTTAAGTAGCAGCTGGAGTCTCTTCCAGCAGAGCCCTTGGCTGCGAGGCCAGACTTCCACTAGCAACCTCCGCAACAGTCTGGCTGGGGCTTTCACAAAGCCAAGATGCGGTGTGAAGCAGCCTGTGTGTCGCATGTGTTGTGGTTTAAGCTGCTATGCCCAACCAGAGCATTTGCACAGCAGCATACCCCATCCAGCACGCTCCGAGCAGCACAGGGTCAGGGATCACCCCACACTCAGATGACGACTTTGCTTACAAACTCTTCAGTTTAAGTCCACAAGCTTCTAATAGGTGGGTAGAAGAGACAGAAAAAAAAAATTTCTCAGTAGAAGGTAAACTAACAGTTCTTGAGCTGCAGGAAGACATGAGGGATGAGGCAGGGACAGAGGAGGGGGACCATCTGCAGGGCAGCTGTGGTCCGTGACCCTGATGCTACCACAGCCTGGGAAACCCTATGCTGGGGGTACAGGACACCCAGCAACCCTTGCTGCTACAACCCCAGCAACACAGCAGCAGATACGGACTCTCAGGGGGCACAGAGGGACCAGGGTTTCTCTATGGAGAAAAACAACTGCAAGCTTTCCCTCCACATCCAACCCCGTTTTGCTAGTTCATGGCACAAGTTCCAAAAATACTATTCTTTGTATCTGAGGAGCTTTCTTAAACTCAGTTCTCCCTCAGCAGAAGGTTACAGGTCTATCCACACCCACCAAGATGCTTTTCTTTGTTCCTGTTATTTCCAGCACACCACACATTTTGCTATCGCCTCTCCTTTGTTCATTGTTCAGTCTGGATTTGCAGTAACTGCCCCGCAGCCCTCGCAGCAGTTCCACCACGCCGACGGGCACCTCCTGTTTCACCAGCAAATCCCGCGTGACAAGCCAAGGCAGCACAAGAGGAGACAAAATGTTTCCTGGCTTGGCTTTCTGTGAGTCTGAAAGGGGATACATCTGCGTACACCGCTCCTTCCACTGTGACGGGCTTCAGACGCATTTCTAAGTACTGCCGAGACCCATGCCAGCACAGGAGCGAACTCCAGCGCAGAAGCTGGGCTACTCCTGGTCTGTGTGAACAAGAACACAAGTACCTGACGCTGCCGTGCTCGGTGCAGAGCACTCCCGGCACGCTGGCCTCGCTGTCAGTGAGGGGAGACGAGTACCCATGAATTCTGCACCCATCATATGGAACTGAGGCTGTATTTTTCCCT